GTGAGTACACTTAGGGTGTAGTGCATGATGACTTCCCAGATGTTTCCCAAGTCTGTGATGTAAATATTATAATGCTGTTTAGGTTTTTGTACTTCATGTCAGATGAGGATTTTCTTTTATCTTCATTTCATATTTTCCCTTCCTGTGGTGTAACTTGTAATGTGCAAAATGTGTATTTCTTGCTTTTTTTTTATAAAGCAATTTCCTTTTTCTGAACTTTTGCATAGACTATCCCCATTTCTAATCTTTAAATGAAGATGAGCAAGTCATACTTTAAACAGTGTTGCTGGAAAAATGCTCTGCTTGTTTTTTACTTTTTCATGAAATATCTCTGTACACAGATGGCTCTGCTAGTGCTTAGCCACAAAAGAGTAAACCCAATGCTGCTGGGAAAATGCTGTGCTCATTTTGTATTTATTTATTTTTGAAATGCCTCTGCACATAGATGGCTCTGCTAGTACTTAGCCACAAAGGAATCAATTAGTAGACCTTGTGACCTTACCTGATTCTATCTTTTCCTTGAATTGGCGGGAAAAATGCATTTTTTACCATTGCTATGAGTATCGATGGTGTTATTTTTATTATAAACATTATAATTATTACAATGTTATAAACAATAGTAACAGCAAATTAAGATAATGTAAAATATTTTCATAAATCAAGGAAGAAGGTAAACAGGCGAGACAGGCAGTACTCATAATTGGCTCATTTGTGATTTGGTACAAGTGCAGCCATCTATGTGTAAAAGCAATTAATAAAGTAAACAGTGGCGGACACTTCCTATTTTTTTTTGGGGGGGGGGATGAAAGTTATTCGCGACTATGCCCTTCATTTTATTGGAAAACATGGGCAACGCCTTTTTATATGTATTGTATTGTGTTGTGTTGTATCACAGTGATACTTGAATACTGAAGACAATATTTTCAGAGTTGAGAGGGTGAGACACCCCCAAGCCCCCCTCAAGTGACACCTCTTGAGAGTATCATTGTAGCATGTGTCTGCCACTGAAAGTAAACCCAGATTTAGGTTAAGAAGGCTTTTACTGGGACAAAACAAGTCACTGTTAGAATAGTGAAATAGGACATGTAGAAAACTGCCAAAAGTAGAATAAGTGAATATACTACAAATAAATGAACAGAGCAATTTTTTTTTTTTTTTTTTTTTTTTTTTTTTTTCATTAATAAACTGACAGTAAAAGGAAAGTTGAAAAGTTGCTGAACACATAATAATGATAAAAGTAGTAGTGCTAGTTTTCCATTGTTACACAAGGAAAGTCTTGTTTTTTAAACTGTAAGATTGACATTGAAATATTTTTGTTTTGTCTGATAAACACCCAAGGTTCTGGTAACCAAAGATGACTCTTTTGAATGTCTTCAAATTTCTGCTACATGTCTTTACTTCTATGAGACTTATGCATGACCTGCAAAATACTTGTGACTATGACAGCTACAACTGACTTTTTACATTGACTGGAGTAAGCTCTTTTCTCTGGAAAAAGAAATAGATATTGTAATGTATTTCAAAAAGAGTAGTAACATTAACTAGAAAACTATTAAGAGTGAAGTAAATTTGTGCAATATATAAGTACCTTATAGAGTGTGTCTTTGCGTGCGTGCGTGTGTGCGTGTGTGTGTGTGTGGTTCATCTATTTATCTGCTTGTTTGTAATATGTAAAATGATGATTAAGATAATAATGGTAATAGTATTGCTGCTGTTGCTGCTGCTGCTGCTGCTTATAATGATGCTGATGATGATGATGATAAGGGAAATACGATGTAGAAGCAAAGAGAGAAAGAAGAGGAAGAGAGGAGAAAGTAGAAAAGAGGGAGGAGAGGAGAAAAGGAGAGGATATGAGAGAATAGAGAAAATAGTAAGAGGATAGGAGGAGAAGCTTTAGTATTCTTTTTCTTTCTTGATTTTTAAAATAAGGGGCCTATACGAATGATAACTTGATGTTTTTACTTTTTTCTGAAAAGGTCTTTGAATGATAAGGGTATTGAGGGTATTTTATGTTTCATTGATAAGCATAGGTATATATATTCTACCTCATGATTGTAGTCTAATAACATGAACATATTGTTGCTCATTTTATAGGTGAAAGTTGAAATGAACTGAGGATTTAATGAATTTATTTATGGGTTATGGTATAGAGAAATTATATAGAAAATTTGAATCTTCCTTTTCTCCAGTGTATGAATAAATTTGGTGATTAATGGAATTTTGAGTAGATTCATTCTGAGTGAACTATTTATTATGATTTTTATATTCAGCTTAAAAGGTATCATATCTTAAAATGAAGTATTTCTGAATTGAAAATATAATGATGAACTAAATTGAAGTTAAAGCAACAAGTTAAGTTATTATTCAGTGATAATGGGATGAAATATTGGACCTTGATGCACTTGGAACACTAAATGATTCATTAATAATATTCAATTAATTATTCTTTATAATTATAGAAGTTGAGTGTAAATAGGATAGTTGAACATAATTATTTCACTGTGATGGAAAAATAACACAGTATTTGCATATTTGAAATTTAATGAGCAAATCAATTTCATGCTAATTTATGCAAAACTTGCTTATTTTGATTTTGTGTCACATGAATATTCCAGGTGATAAATAGCTTTCCAGTCCTCTCATAAACTGACACAAAGTTGTGAGTATATACCTTCTCTATATCTCTTGGTTGTAATACGCATGATTTAGACAAGGTGGTGGTTGGTTGGATGTCACGCTTTGAAATTATTGGGCACTTCAGGCTGTTATCTTTTCTTCTTTACTTTTATCTCACATTTACATCGTAATTACAAAGAAAATGGTGATTTCCAAAGAAGGGGTGATGGTAACTTTTTTGTGTGTGTGGCTAGGTTTATGTAAGTTCATTTGTATAACAATGTATATATATCTGATATATATCTGAGTGGCCTTGTGTCCTGTTTTAATTTTTTGTGCTTGATATGCCTGCTTTGGAGAGAGAAAAGGAAAAAAGTGAGATAAAATGTGATTAGATATTAGATAGCCCAGTTAAAGGGGACTTTTTTAAAATTCTGTAAAAAAAAAAGGAAGAAGGAAAAAGCAATAATGAGGTATATTGAGATTAGACATTTCAGACCAAGGCCTTTTTTTGTGAATTTTTCTCTTCTGTAGGTTTTATCCCAGATGAAAGCAGTCCTGCCCCAACCACAAGACCTCCAAATTTCTTTGAGAGTATTGGCAACCTCTTCACATTTACTTTGAATTAAGTGTAGGTTGTTTGTAGTTAGGTCAGTAGGTCATCCTATTATGCTGTTTTACTTTTACTTGGAGAATCTCTTATTTTAATGCTGATCCCATTACATTTTCAAAATATCTGTTTTTTAATGATTATTGTTGTAATGTTTACATATTTATTTAAAATGATATCACTAATGATAGAGATTTCTGTTAACTGATTTTATTGATTGAATGAGTTCAGGGGCATTATGAGAGATCTGTAGTAAATCATAATATTAGTGTCAGGATTGATTTATTTTTATTGATCTGCTTGGTTCATTTACTTAGCAAACACTCACAATTTGTGCAGGAAGGTTGGTCTTTAGATAGTAATGCCAATATATTTAGTTTTGAAATATATTGGATGTAGTTGGATTTTATTCACTAATTGTAGAGGTCTGGTGTATTGATGACTTGGTCTTGAAAAATCTTAGAGTGAGAGTTAGTTTCATTTCACATCTTTCATAATACTGTAGTGTAGTGCAGGGGAATTCAGGACAGGAACTGTATGATGTACTAGTTAATGCTAATAGGAATACTTTTTAGTACAGAATTTATACTAGAAATATTTGTTATTTTGGTATTAGTTGTAAACACAGTACATACTGTCATTATTTGTTATTTATTTATTTTAGCAACAGATGTAAACACAGTACATAAACTGTTACCTTTAAATTGTCTTTATATTACCTTATTCTTTTTTTTTTTCTTGTTATAGGTTGAAATAAATTCTCTGATTAAAAAATGGAGCCTGTAGTGCATGTAATGGTGCAAATAATTTACATAGTTTCCTTATTTGTAGATTAATGGACAAATAATTAAAAAAAAAATAAAAAAATAGTTTTGAATTATGGTACATATTCATCATATGTAAAATCTTCAGTAAACAGGTTATATTATTCATTTAGTTTCTCTTATTCTTTCATTACTGCCATTTAGAGGAAGAAAATATATCCTGTTTATATACATAGCTTGTTCATCTTTTGAAAACTTGAATTGTAAATTAGTATTAGATATTGTCTTTCTGGATATTGAATATTGACTGTTTCTTATGGGACTATTAATATATATATTTTTCAAAAATATTAACTGAATAAACATCAGTAATGAAAATACAAAAGCATAGAATGATGCAATGCAAAATAATAAATGTTATTTTTCTATACAGTGTCAGTCAAAAACATCTTCAATTTTAGATAATTATGCAGATCCATACCTTAAGGAAACTTTTAGAAAGACCATGCCTAGTCCTCTTTTGAGGTATGCACTTTAACCCATTGGCGCCGGGGAAAATGAACAAAAAATGGGGAAAATACTGTTCCTATTTTCTATACTTTTTTGTGAAATGTCTGCCCATAGATGGCTCTGTTAGTGCCTGATTTGAAATGGTGGGAAAAACGTATTTTTCACTAGTGCCATGAATATCGATGGTGTTATTTTTATTATAAACATTATAATTTTTATAATGTTTTTTAACATTAGTAACAGCAAAATAAGAAAACGTGAAATATTTTGTAAATCAAAGAAAAGGGTGAACGTGCGAGACAGGCGGTACTCGTAACTGGCTCATTGGTGATTTTGTACAAGTGTAGCCATCTATGTGTGAAAACAATCAAACAAGTAATCTCACAGTTGGCATGGCATGGCATGCCCATCGGCAATGGGTTAAGACTTGACTTAGACTGATGACACAGAGACCTAAAGAATGAGACCTTGCATTTTTAAAAAGATATGTTAAGAATCAG